CCTTATCAGTGAATACCCTCCTCCACAAGAGCCCCTGGCCTGTATGACTTTCATCGCCGGTATGCTTATATTCTCCATTCTCCAGGTTATTAGCGACGTCAACCTCCAAAAGCGCCCATAATGTGTCGAGTGCAGCCTGTGCAACTTCGCCCGAAGATGTTGAAAGCCACAGCTCCACAAGTGAAGCCACCAGATCTGAATCGCCTGCAACGACGGCAGCTTCACTGTATCTCCGCCCAGCTTTAGCCAACAGTGAGAGAGCTAGGAGATTGATTGGTGGCGATGGAGCCTTGAAGCCAGCGACAAGATTGATCGGAGGATCGATAGATTGGAGATCGGTGAAGGTGAAGTAGTTGGTAGCTCTGATTCCGAGGGTTGTAATAGGTGTAGGGTCTTCCTGCAAAACGGGAAGGAGCACAGCAATTTGAGATAGAAGAGTGGCAGGGACCGCAGGGTCCGTGGATTCGACTAGTTGCAACTTCAACTTGTCGATGAGAGGAATGTCCAAGGCCGTGGCGGGGTTCTCCTGGACTTGGGCGAGGTGTGATCTCACTGCATCAAATGTTGAAGGAACTGACATTTTGACTTCTTCAAATATCTTCACTTCTTCTCAAAAACCAGTCACAGACTTAAAACTGAAATGCACGCCTTTGTGACAGGTGAAGCTCGGCCTTTGCGCCGCGGGGAAAGCTCACATGCGCCTCAGGCATCAACACCAAACCAACCAAACATGACCGCATCAACCAACCGTATCTACTACTCTGTCCCTCACCAGAAGTTCTTGTGCATGCCAGGATTACAGCCTACAATCATGGAGCCTCCACAGAGTCTAGTTTCTCAGAAGTCATCCGATTCAGGTCTCCATATTCAGCTACACCCTCTCGTTCTCCTCACTGTCTCCGACCAAATTACTCGACATGCTGCCCGACAGCAACATGGGCCGATAATTGGTGGTCTCCTAGGCCAACAGAACGGACGAGAGATAACACTTGAGCATGCATTTGAATGCCCGGTTACTTGCGGACTGAACGATGAAGTTATTTTGCCAGCAGCATGGTTTGAAGAACGTCTTCAGCAGTGTATGTGGAACCCCTCACACGACCCAGTAGGGTTGCTCCTACCCAGTATAAACTAACCATATCATAGTCAAGGATGTTCACAAAAACCCCGCTCTCGACCTTGTTGGATGGTGGTCAACTGCGCCATCAACCGGGCCGAATGACGCCCATCTCCCCCTCCACCGACAGATCCTCCAGGACTACAATGAATCTGCCGTCTTCCTCGCCTTCCACCCCTCACAGCTTCAAGGTTCAAATTCAAATGGAGGCAAACTTCCCCTGACCGTGTACGAGAGTGTCCATGAAGGCGAGCCTGCTCCCGATGCAAGCAAGGACATGCAGGTTGATGGCGAGGAGCCAGTGGTGAACATCAAATTTAGGGAGCTGCCTTACTCAGTGGAAACAGGGGAATCAGAGATGATCGGTATCGATACTATTGTTCAGGCTTCTGGCACAGCTTCTTTGAGTGCGACACAGGAGCCAACGAAGCGTGCACAGCAGACAGAACAAACAGAGTCAAATAAGCAGAGCTCGCAGGTTGAACTCTCACAAGAGGAAGAAGAATGTAAGTTCCACTGTCTTCAACACTACTACTGGATAGTTGATACTGACCGATTGAAAAGTAATCGCAAGCCTCAGCACTCGTCTCAATGCCGTTCGCACCCTCGAATCCCGCGTTTCCCTCATCAAATCCTACCTCTCCAGTCTCTCAGAAGCAGATTTCAGCTCAGACCGATCAAAGGACAATACATCCGCCACCAAGCTGTCACACCCAATCATCCGCAACGTCAACTCTCTCCTCTCACACCTGTCCATCCTCTCTCCATCAGAGCAAAGCACCTTCACCACCGAAGTACTCTCGCAAAGCAATGACGTGCTATTAATCTCGCTACTTGGCCAACTCGGTGACAACGTCAAGGCTATGCGCGAACTGGGCCGCAAATCCGCAGTCGTTCAGGCTACGCGTCACGTAGCCACCGCGCGCAAGGATCCCGCCATGCTCCAAAAGAGCTTCAATGACGAGTTCTATAGCCAAGGTGGACGTGGGTTTCCTGGCAGTGGGATGTATTCGTGATATTAGCCATTTCTCCAGTGTTTCCACGCTCAGCCCATGAAATACCCCCCATAATGGCAATATACCGGATCTTGGGCCTAGGATTTTATTTGCTTTGCTTAGATAGTATTGCTTTCTAGGCCCATTTTAAGGCCATTTAGACGAGATAACGAACTTTGATATGATTACAATTTTTTTTTTTCATTTCCCCATATTCAAAGGTGATACTACAGGTCGGGTCCAGACAATACTATACAAACAAATGTAAACCCATAGTAATGCCAGGAGCATGTGAACCGATGGGAATATGACAGATAAAAGTAAAAGAATAACACAAAAGCAAAACATGCCGCTATGAAAACAGGCGGGTATCCATACCTATCCAAACAACGGGACATAAAGAGAAGTAAAAGCGCAAAAATCTCGAAGTGCTCGTGGGTAGCGTGAGGTAAAAAGAGTAATACGTTTGCAGCTCAATCGTAGGGGAGACATGCATATCAAAGCAAGCCCTGCCAATGAGATGTATATGCCGGGTCATAATTGTATCATGGACATGGATCATAAACCATGGTTGACAGGGTACGGGGGAGGAGGGTGGTAAGGATCCGGCATGGGCATAGGGACTTGCTCGCGGAGGGGACCATCAGATGGGTAAGGATGGACCGGCGATTCTGTATGCAGATTGTCATGACTGTGAACCGAGGAATCCTCATAGGGTGACGGGCTTCGCTCGTAAAATCTAGACGTTCTAGACGGGTTGTGGACATGGTCATCGAAATCCGACGCATACGGCGAAGTGCCCGTGAGCGCGATCTCGGGATTGGGTTGTGCGTGAGCGAGAAGCACCTCGCCTTCTTCGTAGGGTGTGTCGCCATAGCGGTCCGTTCGGGCTCCGGACATGGCCGCTCCAGCGCCATGGTAAACCGTTCCGTGTTGGGTGAGTTCACTGCCCTCTTGGGGTGGCTGGAGGCCGAGTGACGCGTCTTGTGGCCGATAGCTGGGGTCCAGCATACGACTTTTGCGGCCGACGAACAGCCAGCGAGCACTTCGGCCAATGGCTTTGAAGAGGTCCAATGGGTTCATGGCGTCAATCAAGGCCCGTATGCCGTAGCGTCCACCTTGGTATGCAGACTTGCCGTTGCCGTAGAAATCAGTCACTTCACTTGACTGGTTGGTGAGGATGTAGGTCTTCCATGAGAAGGCCCAAAGATGAAGTATACCAAATATCGCCATTTCACAGTTAATCATTAGCTCCGGGAGCCCAACTTTGAGGTCATTCAGTGCGATCTTATCAGTCGCTGAGATAGCGCCCTCGGAGACCAGAAGGCTGATGAGTGTCTAAAACGTGAAAACACAAATTAATAAACCACTTTATGAGGAGACGATGCTGAAAAGAGCTTACCGACTGCCAGAATGACAGGAAAATAACGAGCTTAATCGACAAGATCTTCAAAAATGGCTGATGTTGCTTGATGTCTTGGCTGGTCTGGTGGTAGAACTGGATCAGGCAGTACATGGCGATAGATACGGAGACCGATTCAATGACGATTGTCTATCAAGAGACTGTTAGCGGACCGACTGGGGATGAAACCAACGGGTTGGTCGCCGCTTCGAACGTACCCAGATATGCCCAAATGCGGGATTCAGCGATTCCTCGCAGTACACCCCAAAGGCCTGCGTGACAACTGCAACGATGGTCATAAGAACGCGCATCACACAGTATTGGAACACCCCGACCCAAACAATCTGTATAACGATCAGTTCCCTGGAGCCCCTCAAAATCTGCCCAAGTCCTTTATCTTACATTGAACCATGTCAATCCACTGCGCGGAGTCCGCCAGATGCGCTCACCACCACAGCATTTTTGAAGCCAATTCAACGGCCAGAGCCATTTCTTTGGTTGGATTCCACGGAAGTAATCCTTCTGGCTGTGTAGATCCGGGGCGATGTAGTGGCACATGAGAGAGAAGAAGGCGGAGATACAGAAAGCTTCGTAGCAGTCGCCGAGGACCTTAAAGTAGACCGAGTCATGGTAGAAGTATATGCTGAGCCATGCGACAATGGAATAGACGGGGACCATGAATAGGATGCGGATAATACTGCGACGGAGAGGAGGACCATGTCAGCAATGCTCATATGACGCGTTAACCGGCACGGGGAAGGGGGACTCACTGTCGCTGTTCGATCGGCTTGCTGTAATGTGTGGCATGTAGCATAATTAGAGCCAAAGATACAACACAGGCGATGATGGCGCAAGCGCCGCCCACCAGGAGCGCTAGGACGTGAAATGTAACGCCGCCATCCCAGAGTGCGACCTCCTCAACTGTTTCCCATCAGTCACTGTAAAGTTATTCAAGGAGGGGTAACACACTTGTTTGGGACTCTGTGGTATTACACACTGGCCAGCCCATGATGGCTGGTAGGGTGAAAGATGGCAAAAGAGGATTGTTGATGGAGTGAACCCTGGAACCCTTTTTCCCCCTTTATCTCTTATCCGGATCGACAGGGGAAGACGCCACCGAAGATCAAGAAAATATAGAAGAAGCAACTATGTCCACACGCAAGACACGGATATGGCGTTCTCTTGGCTTATGCACAACCTGTCAGTTCTTGAAAATCTGCCGATTTCTTAGGGATCGCCGGAAGCTGAAAAGGCTTAGTCTTGGATCTATTTTTATCTGCTTGGCTCTTTGACAGCCCCTTGGAGTGGACCTTCTACGTATATCTTGGTCGAATGAGGCTGATAATATCGTATAACACTGCCCACTTTGCATACTTTGGAGTTCTTTCATGTTGATTCTTTTCATGGAATTTTGCAGTCACTAATAGTTTATTGTACATGGCCAATAACGGTGTGGCCCAACTGCAAGATATTTTTAATCGGAAGTTCAGGAACGCCATGAATCCCCACGCCGTCCGCCACGTCCGCGTCCACGAGGCCCGGCACCAGATCGAGGTCCAGGCCCAAATCGTTCAGGGCCGATGTCCACAAACTTATCATCATCTTCGAAAGTAATTCGCCGCATCTCATCACCACCACGGCGTGGGAATGTGCCCTTCCGAATCAGCTCATCGAATTGATCTAAACGTTTATCGGCGACGGGACGTGGAACGGGAAGGTAGTACAGCTTGGGCTTTGTAGTGGTAGATTCGAACAATTCATCCAGAGGCTTAAAACCCTGCCCTGGTCGTGATGGGAGTGCGGGAGCCGCGGGAGGCACGTTGGAAGGGCGACGGTCAAACTGATCAACATCGCGGCGCGGGCCCAAGGGAGGAGTACGGTTGAAACCTGATTCACGTCGTCCAGAGGGAGTAGAGCCCACCTCGGCAAGGGTAGCCGTGGTTCCATCTTCAGATGTCTCATATCTCACTTCCCAACGGGCAGCAGGGCCAGCGCGATCTCGGGATTTCTCTTCTGTCTCGATCCATTCCTTGATCTTCTCATCAGGGATAAAATCTGCTCGGAGATTCTTGCGATTGCGTTCGTTGGGCCACACAGTCCCATGAATGGCGGAACGAACCCGCGAAGCTGCTGCGAGACTGGTGAAGCTCACAAAACAGTGGGTTTTGATAGAATCGAGATAAAAGTCAATGATGGCATCGGAATCTGTGGTGTCGGTGGTGGATGCGAGGCTGGCCAGGTGCTTGCGGAGTGCAGCCGGCTGGAGTGGGCGCATGAGGCCGTCGATATAGAGGGCAGAAGTTGCAGCGTGCAACGCGGGGGTGGTGTCCGCATCCTGCATTGTGACGTCTCTCGGGGGCGAGGCAGGTTGGGTGGATGCACCAGCAGGTGGAAACAGGTTGCGGAACCGAGCGTCTTGCTTGGTGGGGGTTTTGTGCGAGTCTGTTTGCGTCTCGATAGGTTGTTTGTCTGTGTGGTCCTCCGCTGCTTTTTGATCGTCGGGCTTTAAATCACCGAGCCCCTGGCCGCGGGGAATTGACACCTCGTCGTCTTTCAGCAACGCGCGTGGGGTTGCTTCCTTCGCGCGAGCCTTCCTATTTGCAATCTCTTCTAGAGTAGGAGCCGGGCTCTGGCTGCGGCGTTTCCGTTTACGTGTATCCTCCAATGCCTCTTCCACCGGGAGAGGTGTCGATAACCCGGTGTCAACGTCAGATGTTTGGGCAGCGGAGATCGATTTTTCTTGGGTCTTCACAGGGTCTTCGTTCTTCGCATCTTGGGCTGTCTCATCCATTTGTGGCTGGGAAGGTGCAGCTGTAGGGGGTTGATTTTCGCGGGTAATTGCCTCTGTTTGTGCCTCCTCCGCAGGCTTTGCGACATCTTCAACTTTTTGCGATTTCACATCGGTTACCGAAACTGCCTCTCCTTGGGTCGACTCATCTGCTTGTGTTTGTCCATCTTCAGCTCGATCCGATACTGACACAGGGGCTGTTGTTTCCTCGGGTTGTGAGATTGGTTCTTCCTTTGGTTTTTCAAGCTCTTCATTCTCTGGTTGTTCGGGCTGAGACTTTTCATGTGAAACAGCATCTGGCGCAGATGGCTGTGATTCGGTGGATTCTTCTGCAGGGGCTGCTTCTTCGGTTGTAACCTGGTTTGTTTGTGAGTCAAGCTCAATCAATTTGTCAATGAACTGCTGCTTGAGGCGGAGGCCAGTCTGAGGGACGCCGCGCTTCTTGCACTCGGCCTTCAAATCAGCCACTTTCAATGATGAATAGTCACTCATGATGACAGACTCTCCACATCAGAGGTCGATGTAGAAAGCAAAGTTTGAATGAGATGGGATCAATTGCTTATATCAGAAAGAACAAGGCAATTGATTGTAATGCAGGGATTGAATCTGGGGACGCGATGGAAATGCGCGCCGATGATGTAGGATGCTAGCCACATGTGGACTAGCGTCACTCTTGTCTGAACAATCCATGGGATGCAACCGGAAACTACAACTACTACGGAGTATAATCATTTAAGTAAATGAAGTATAAACAAGATATAATTGAGAAAGATCTGATAATAAAAATACTTGATCTTAGTCCAAGCACATACATGTACTATAATTAGCACCGCAAGGGAGGCCAGATAAATCAGATGCGGCTGAAGTAAACCAGCATTACTACCAGTATAATATATATCAATGGCAGTTCACTGACCTTGTCTACAACTGTAGCCATGTGGTCGAGTTTATGTATTTACAAATTACTCTCATCTAGAAAAATAAAAGGGCACTGGTGAGAGGTAAGGGGGTGTTTACAAGTGAGAGGATAGCTCTCCGACCGTAACTTGGGACCAGCACTTTTTGTGGATGGGAAGTCTTCAAATATTACACATCTGGAACAGAACGTACAGTAATTTCTTTGAATTGAGTTGTGATCTTACTTTTACCGGCTTTATTACTATGACTAGTTGGTTAGAGTGAAACACCACACTTGGGAAAAACTGTTGGAGTTTCCCATTCGACCAAAAAGCCCACAATTGCAGTAGTCGAGGATATTTCTAGCATTTTCAACAGGAACAGGCAACATGGATACATTCATAGTGATCTAGTCATTTTCAAGAATGGCTCTAATCTACAATACCCGCTGGCAGCAAAGCCACATAGTCCACTGGTGCCGGCTCAGTCCCATGAGGCATACCAACAATCTTCAAAGTATCACCCTTCTGGATCTTGACACCCCGGAACTTAATACGAATCGCCGAATGCCCATCCAAATAGATAGAAGGTGTGTGGCTAAAGGTATCCTCACTATTGCCAACCCATTGGCCGATTTCCTGATTATTCACATAGACCTTCCACCGCGACTGGCCACCGTATACATCGTAGTAGTTCACTGCAAGGTCATAGGTGCCAGAGGGAAAGTCTATTTTGGTCGAAGCTGTACCAGCTGTACTGTTGGAAGTCGTAACAATTGCAACCGAACCAGAAGCTGTTTCGAAGGGGCTGACGGTGTAAGTTTTGTAGCCTTCTAACTTCATATCCTCCGCTTCGATACGCCATGGATGGTGGCCGACACGCTTAGCTTGATCGGGGATCCCGGAAAGATTGTAATAGAAGTCATTGATCGCATCTCTCCACACAATTGAGTGACCGCTCTGGTAGTCTAGGAAGTGCCGAGTATGGTTGTATCGCTCAGTATCAATTTTGCCATGAAGTGATTCCCACTGCGTAAGGAATGTCTGTGCAGTTTCCGCCCCGCTGTAGTGTTCATCATAGAAGTGTTGAATAACGGTCTTCCCCGAGTGCAGACGATGGGTGTATTTCACATGGTGGAACCATAGTAGAAGATCGTCTGGTGTGGTGTCGATGTTCTCATACATGGCAGCGATTTCATCCGGATACTGGCCTGAAAAACCTGTGCCATTTGCCACTGTCCGATCCATTCCAATGCTAGTTTGGTCTGCGCGGGTCCATTGGCCCCATCCATTGTTGTCTTGGGATGCAGGGTTGGGACCATAGTGAGTGTATAGAATATCCGTTAAAGTCTGGATGCCTAAATTCCCACTGTATTGTTCATAGGCGGGCCAAGATTCCATGGACATGCGAGTGATGGTGTCAAGTACCTCCCGGTCGAGCCCAAAGGTCAGTCTGATCCAGTCTTGCAGAATATCTTGGGCATCATCTGCTGGGTTCCAAGCTAAGCGACCATAGGCATATAGATTTGACATGGACAGGTGACTACCAAGCCAGGTGGTGTTTGTGCCAACGTTGACAACAGCTGCTGAGCCGCCTAGTTTGCGATTGAACCGTTTACCAGCCACGATATCGCGAACAAGTGATGGCTGGCCGTCGACGCGGAGGTCAGAGTCTAAGATCGTCTTCCAAAGGGGAGCAACATAGACCAAATGCGACTGTTGTCCAAGATATTCTTGCGTAACCTGCAGTTCAATGGCCATGCTGGTGTTGAACAAATTTGCAAACAATGCCGATGCTGGTTCACGGACCTGGAAATCAATAGGCCCGTACTTGATTTGGATCACCACGTTGTCGTCAAATTCGCCATCTAGGTCCTTGAAAAATTCCACAGCAGCCTTTGCACGATCATCCGTCCAGATTGATTCGTTCAGCTGGTTGTAGACAAACGCGCGATACATAACAATTCCACCGTAGGGCTGAACTTCTTTGGCGAAAAGGTTCGCGGCATCTGCGAGCGTTCTGTTATATGTCTGGGGGCCCGGCTGCCCCTCCGAGTCAGCCTTGACCAGGTAGCCAGCCATGTCAGGAACTCGATCATAGACCTGGGTTGTAATATTTGACCACCACTCAATGACAGATGCATCGAGGGGATCAAAAGTGCTGAGTCCTCCATACGTTTGAGGGGATGCGAAGTTGAGCGATAGGCCGACTTGTATACCGTATGGCCGGAAGACATCAGCGATTCGAGCCACGCCGTCGAGGTTTGTGGAATTCAAGAGGGCAGCATCCGCATTGACATTGTTGATGACGACAGCATTGATTCTGATCGAGGCTAACAACCGAGCGTATTCAGCAACACGGGTTAGGTCGTCGACGATTTGACCGTCCTTGAAGAAGATAGAGGGGCCACCATAGCCGCGTTCGATTCTTCCATCCATGTCATCCCATTGATTCACCCAGCGAATAGGCGCGGAAGGATTGGATGCATAGGCGACCTTGGAGAAGTTTCCCTGTGCAAGCATCGACAAGTATTCAAAGGTGCCATAGAGAGCACCCCTCTCATTTTGTCCAAGGATTTGAACGCTTTTTCCCTTGGTATCGAGCCAAAAGCCATCTTCTTCCAGTTCGGGTACATCTTTCACCGCGCCACAGATTTCCTGATATTGATCAACCGTGCCAACAACAACCGAGGAGGATGTCTTGCATTTGTTGTGTGTGACTTGCACACTCTTTCCATAAACACCTTTGAGACCACTTTGCAACTCCGTCCCCGCAACATATACCGGACTTGTCTCAGTCGCATTGAGGGTGACGATACTCGAAGGGAGATTGGAATGACATTGGCCTGAACAGGGTAATGATGCGTACCGCAGCCAGCCCTTGAGGCCGTTCTCAGCGGCTGCAAAGCCCAAGGAGGCGAAGAAGAGAAGTGCACGCATTGTAGCCACAGATTCTGGTCCGGGGGAACATATATCTAACCACCCACTGCAGATCAAGTCCCCCCTTTATATCGAACTGGCTGCGAACATCGGGAGACTCGCCGATGGCACATAGTTGCCGGAAAAACTTCAGGCTAAATAAGTAATACGTCAAAGCCAAGGAATACAGGCTATGTGTACTTATACTCTTTCCCCGCAAAGACTGTGGAGTCGTGTGGGGGTGGATTTGGCACGCACGTAAAGGCTGAATTTCTTCACGCCTAATGTTGACAGAGCCACCAAGTAGTAGGGTCTTAACTAGGTTCTACCTCGGAGAGACTCGAAAAAAAGGACCCAATCGGGAAAAAGACGTGTGGACACCTGTATAAGGGGGAAATCTGGGATTCACATTGGGGTTTCGGGCCTCTGTGAGCTCAGATTGTCAATATACCTGAGCTTTTTTTTTTGAGTACAATATATACCCAAGCCGCAATCCTTTTCATGATAATATATAATCCTGTTGGTCACTGGGCGTAGCTTGACACAGGTAGGTAACCAACATAAAATAGAGATCAGCGGAACCAAGCCCAATATGTACTAGACAAAGCCTAAGTTGGATAGGAACGGGCGGACTCATGATAATGGAATGCATCTTGAGTGTCACATTTTAGGCTATTCTACGAAATGCCGGACATCGCCCGAAGACGAGCGCATTTAACAAAGTGATCAAATATCTTGGCACGCTTATCTAAAATATGCCTAGTTTAGGAGATCCGTAATTCATTATTATTCGTGGAAAATTTTTGGTTCAAGAATGGTTCAAGATTCTATTTTTTGTTTATGGCTCGCAACAGGGCGATACGCTTAAGCCTCACGGCTCAGGATGTCGGAGTCACCGGCATCGAGGATGGCCATGGCGGAGCAGCGGAAGAGCTTACCGCAAGCGGTACCGAGCTCAATCTATAGGGCGAGTTAGTCCAATTCGCTCTCCGGGATGCCTTGCGGTGATCCCTTCGCTGAGCAACTTCACTCTCCGAAGTGGTAGTTTTGACCGACTTCTTCTCTGAGTAGTGTAGCTGATCTAAAGGTGCGACAGCCGGTTTTTCAGGCTGCCGACCCGAAGGAATGGGGAATGGAACGTACGTTGTTGCCGTTGAAGTGGTGAACGGGGGTCTTGGCGAGCATGGCGTAGTACTCAAGCTCGGACTTGCGCAGAGGAGGGCAGTTTCCGGAGATGAGGACGAGCTTGGCCTTGCCAGAGCGGAGAGTCTTCATGGTGGACTTGGTACCCATGGTAACTGAGAGAAGTTGTTAGCGAATTGCTCATTTGTGCGATTGAAACGACCTGCTTACCCTTGCCAGACTTCATCACAAGCGCAAGGCGCGAGGAGAGGGTGTCACCGGACTTCTTAGTCTTGACCATTTTGAATGTTTTGAGGGGTTGGCTCGTAAGAAGTTTTGTTGGATGGTTGGCTACAGAAGAAGAAAATTCGCACAGATAAAAAAAGGTCAAGTGTGGAGCGAGCCCTAGCCCCACGTGATCTTTTCACGTGATCAATTACCGCTTTATTTTTCTGCCAGCGGGACCGGAGGCCAAGTTATTCCAATGCTGCGGGGTTTTTGACTCACTCAATTTTGTTACAAGTACACCCTGTTACCCTATTTTCTATTTCAATTTCTTGTTTTTTTTTCCCCCTTCATTTTGCATATTATTGTCTGTCTTTTTTATTATTTTAACAATGGCTGAAAATAGCAGCGTCCCTGCTGCAAAATACCGTCAGTCTATCTCCCCCATTCTTACCTACTGAACGGCTACTAAATCCCGTAGAGAGAGTCGATTCGCAACCTGAGAACCCTTACGCTCAGTTGATTGAGGATCAATCAATTGCGATCATCCCTTCGTTCAAACTCGAATCCGGTGTCACCCTTTACAATGTCCCCGTCGCATACACTACGCGTGGAACACTCGCTCCCAGTGGTGATAACGTGCTGGTGATTTGTCACGCTCTTAGTGGGAGTGCCGATGTCGCTGACTGGTGGGGTCCTCTTCTTGGAGGTCCTGGCCAAGCATTTGATGTCTCTCGGTTCTTCGTGGTCTGCCTGAACAGTTTGGGTAGCCCATATGGAAGTGCAAGTGCTGTAACCTACAAGGATGGTAAGCCTGAAAATGGCTATTATGGACCCGAGTTCCCCTTAACGACTGTCCGTGATGATGTCAACATCCACAAACTTGTCCTGGATGACCTCGGCGTGAAGCAGATTGCTGCAGTGGTCGGAGGATCCATGGGTGGAATGCTCACCTTGGAATACGCATTTTTCGGCAAAGATTATGTCCGAGCTATTGTGCCAATTGCGACTTCAGCACGCCATTCCGCATGGTGCATCAGCTGGGGCGAGGCACAGCGGCAGAGCATCTACAGTGACCCGAAGTATGACGATGGCTACTATGCATTTAGCGACCCGCCCTCCACCGGCCTCGGTGCAGCTCGCATGTCGGCACTTCTCACTTACCGTAGCCGCAACTCTTTCGAGTCTCGGTTCGGTCGCAATGTACCGGATCCAACCAAGCCGCGAAACATCAACGGCACCGAGAAACTCCCCACTCCGCCGAACGAGCACTGGGCCATCCACAACGACGGACACCGTGGCGGAACAACTTCACGCTCGGGGAGCAGACAGGGATCGCCGGCTCTTGTAAACGAGGCTGAGGTCCAGTTCATGGACCCCCAATTCTCCGGCACCAAGACATTTGCCCCTGAAGTCGACACAACGCCCAAGCTGACTGCATCCGGCCGTCCTCGTCCACCGACCTACTTCTCTGCACAGTCATACCTTCGGTACCAGGGTGATAAATTCGTCAAGCGGTTCGATGCCAACTGCTACATCGCCATGACCCGCAAGCTCGATACGCACGATGTGTCCCGCCGCCGTGGCAATGCCGGCGCCGACACTGAGGACACCGTCCTCGAGGCTCTCGGACGCGTACAGCAGCCGGCTTTAGTTCTTGGCATCGAGTCGGATGGCCTGTTCACTTTTGCGGAGCAACAAGAGGTTGCCGCAGGCATCCCCGATTCTCGCCTCAAGCGCATCGATAGCCCCGAAGGCCACGACGCGTTCTTGCTTCAATTTGAGCAAGTGAACCGCCACATTGTCGAGTTCTTCCATGAAGTCCTGCCCGATATCATGGCCAAGTCCGGCGCCGATGGTGCCGCTGCTGTAGCCAGTGTCACTAAGCTGACGAAGAGCAGCACCTTTGGCGAGGCCGAGGTGGAGGATATCACCGCTTGGTAAAGCGTTGAAACCACCCACCGTTATTGCCAGGCGCAGTTCTTTCTGCAGCCCATCCCATGCTCTAGTCTGGGTCCTGAATCCCTTGGAGGGGTCCGCGACCGGATAGATGTCATGGCACATCAGGGGAAGTAGGTTGCCGTTCTTTTTTCCGTTCCGCCAGTCAGGGAGATGAGCATCCAACTGCCTCTCCCGTCTCTCACTTGGCCCTTTTGTCCTTGTCCGAGAAGGCTGTCAAAGAAGCATCCAACTGCTCTCCATCAGACCCGCCCTCTGGGTCAATTCCTTCCGGGGGATAATACTCGCTCCGCCGGAGGTGATGGGTCCGTTTTCGGTATTGATAACCATTGGTTATCTTTGCGACACGCATGTCGCATCGTTTTAAATTAAAAAAAAAAAATAGAAAAAATAACATATCTGGGTATCTGATATCTGGATATCTGGATATCTGAACACAATAGGTGTATTCTTGAAGACCTCGTCAGGAGGTCCTCCGTATGTTGTAGATACAGTTTATACTCCAATCGAAGTCCCCACAACTGAGTAGCGCCATGACCAAATAAGAAAGAAAAAAAGCCCATGGATTTGAAAGTAGAAAGCCATAAAAAGGGTTTAGCATTTTTAAAGATAAGTTGGCCCGAGCTGAATGGTCAGGAACAAGATTAGGTGGCGTGAGGCTTGAAGGTCCAGCACTATTGAAAGCATGTACTTCTGTTGATGGATAGGTATGTATGGTACTTAGGGAAATACTAGATAGCTAGATGACTACGGAGTACTCCACGGAGTACTCCGTATTTTATTCCCTTATAATAACTATAAGAAGACTTGTCTAGATGTTCCAAGGTTGGCGCCAAAGGCCAAAGCCCCCAAAAGGCCCCCAGTGGATTTGAGTCACCAAAGACACACTAATGTACACCTGTACGCTGGGTCTAACTACATATGTGGGCGCCTAGACCCTTTTGACCCTTTTGACCCTTTTTCATATACCATTAATAACCTATTTAGCTGAAGAGGATTGGATCCGAATGTCTTAGATTTGCTAAAATTCTAATTTTTATTCTACTTTTTATTCTAATTTTTTATTAATGTACTCTGTAAAAAAAAAAAAAAAAAAAGAATAGACCCTCCAAGTGGAGGTGCTGGTTATCTTCTTAGTGGACTTGATATGCCGATCTAGCCCATGTTGGTCCTGTTGGCCTTGTTGGCCCTATCGTCGTTTTTTGTTTATGCAGACTAGCTCCAGTAACATCACTATCTTTTACCCTGTTCACTCTGAATTAGTATTGTTTCAAGTAATTATCCTTTTTTTATCCTTTTTTAATTATTATTTAATTATCCTGTACTTCCCAGCCTTGAATGAGATTCTACATTCTTCTTCCCCCGCATACCAGACAGTTGTGCAGACAACCCTTTGAACTTTCCTTGATATTCACACATACTTTCACATAGTTGACGAAATTGCCCGGGATTTGAGAGTATTTGATCTGCAAGTACATTGAAGCCGGTTTGAACACACTCCACTTGAATCAGCCATTTCCTTTGTTGGTCGTTCTTTCCTTGGAGTGTCTCTTTACTCTTTTTCATCTTTCGATTCCTTCGTGAGACCATCGGAGCATAAACAAAGAACAGACCTGTTTCCGACATGGAGCGCAAGCTATCAAAAAAAGCAACCAAAATACGCCACCGTCTGACCTTCGCCAGAAGCAGCTCCGCGCGTGGCCTGGAATCAACACAGGCCTCGCCCATTGAGGCCCGTTCATCAACCACTCGTCCCCGGTCAGCCACGAATCCCGAGTCTCCCACCCATGACGAGCCAACGTGGGACAATAGGGACCCCGATTCCCTGAGGGGCTACAGTTTTACAGATGAGCCGGGCTACTTCCGCCCTGTATCGCCGTTCATTGACCGCCAAGAGATCGAAGAAGACCTCGAAGCTGATATCAAACATGCATGCGCTATGCTATCTCACACCATTGACCGTGGTATCCCACCCGGATTGTCCTATCAGAGCGCCATGCCACTCTCGACAGATGGACAAAATCCCGCTGGCCAGTCTAGTGTCGATGTAGCTCCTTCATCTTTGACACAGAACGTCACTCTTCTGTCAGCACCCAAGCCAATCAGGGCCGAAACAGAAAGCACGAAGAGATATGATTCCGGCGTTGGTATGAGTTTCAATTCTCCCAGCCAACCAGCCAGATCATACGGCAACAGCGTATCGCGCACAAATAGCTCAGCACGGTTCTACAACAAACAACCCTCCGCTTCACCACCACACAGCCCATCATCGGAATCCCGCACTCGAAGCCAGAGTCTAGCAACAACGATCGAAGAAGATAACCAACGGGAGCGGTCCTACTCGTCAAGCCCGGCTCCATTCCCATATAGTCCTCCGCAATTCAACAGCGAGTGGCCATCCAAGCCAACGACGCTCGATAGCCCCGTCAGCTCGCTCAACGAGAGCGACACCAATACGAATGCGAATGCGAACATACCTGACGCATCCTCACCAGCCATCTCCCCACAAGAAGCACCATCTCTCGGCGGAGCAGGTAACACCTGGATTCACGCTAGCAGAGACATCCAACGCCCCACCGACGAAGAAAAACCGACAGCAACCCAAGCCAAAAAGCCAAAGCCAATGGCCCGCTTCTACAGTGCCTGCAATCAAACAATAGGGAGCAACTCCCGTGAATGGCCGACGAAGGATTTCCGGGGTTATCGGAACCCGAGTATTTACAGCGAAGTCTCACTACCTTCATCACTGGGTACTAGAGGGAGCACAATGTCGAGACCCGAAACAGGCCACTCGAGATTGGGTAGTGCATCGACAAATGAGGAAAATTCGCCTGGCGGATACCCGTACCAAACGTTTGCTCGGTCCAGCCGCGGGATGTCTCACTCGGCTTCTTGTTTGGGAGATGAGTACAAGCACCAAGAACGTGTTACCTCTGTTGCTATGGCCGGTGCGCCGGTTAAAAATAACCGGCGCAAGAAGGCTTCGCTTTTATTGAGGAGGTTGACTGGGCTGGGGACAAGGAAGGAGAATGACAATGAGAATGGAGTTTACTGATTGGAGCTGGTGGGGTTGGGCGTTTGGATATGCATTACAAGGGAATATGGGGATTTGAGCAGTGGCCTTGATTCCTTTTACCCTGGGCGTATTCGTATCTTTGGCTAGTTACAGATGTCTGTTATGTTCGATGTATATACCCTTTTACTTTTTTTCTATTCTTTTACCATTTATCATATCTATGTGGTTTCTATAGACATTCATATGTTTGTGCTTGTGCTTGTGCTTGTGCTTTTTTTTTTTTTTATTTTGCGACTTCATATCAGCTACGTTCATTTCAAAGGTCCACAGTCTGGCCTGGGATGTAAGACACACCACACAGTTCAAACACCACATCTGTTTCACTAAACACAACTGTATGGAGTTCACAATAAAATTAAAAAAAAGTTCCATTCAGTGTACCAAAATCATGTTGGATCAAAAATATCCCGTATACCGAGATGCCAAGCCTACCTACCCCATCCACAGATAAAAATAACATCAATCGTGAGACATGGTCCTATATAAAGATCACAGCCTTACAGACCAAGCCAGAACCTTGTTTTGCCAACCTCAAACTCGCCACGCAGCTCTTCAGCCCCAGTACCCGTAACAAGAACCTCATACGTCCCCTTCTCCGAGATCCACTGTTCCCGCTCCTCATCCCACCAGCTCGTAGCCAACTTCTTCTCAACAACCAACTGCACAGTCTTACTCTCTCCAGGCTGCAAGAAAACCTTCTGGAAAGCCTTAAGCTCACGCACAGGACGACTAACATCAGTCTTCGGAGGCACGATCCAAAGCTGCACGACCTCAGCACCAGCCACAGATCCCGTATTGGAGACAGTCACCGACGCAGTAACAGGTTCACCAGACTCAGTATACTTCTTCTCTTCGGGAACAGTCTCGATGCGCAGATCCGAGCGCGCGAAACTCGTGTACGACAAACCATGTCCGAAAGCGAAGCCGGGCGCCACGTCGCTCTTCTCGAAGTACCGGTACCCAACGTAGATATCCTCGCCGTACAGCACGCGGCCGCGCTCAGATCGGAAGTTCAGGTACGAGGGGTTATCCTGCAGACGACGGGGGAATGTGATTGGAAGCTTGGCGGAAGGGTTGACGTCGCCGTACAGGACATCCGCGATACCATTTCCACACTCGTTTCCGCCGAACCAGGCTTGCACGAGGGCTTTGGTTTTATCTACCCAAGGCATTGTGACTGGCGTGCCGGATTGGATCACGACAACTGCGTTCGGGTTTACATCCAGCACGCGGCTGATCAGCTCGTCGCTGCCCGGGGGTAGATCCATGTGTTCGCGGTCGTGACCTTCGGTCTCCCATTCCATGGTCAGACCGGCGAAGATGACGACCTGCTCGGCGGTTTTGGCTTGTTCGACTGCGTTGGAGATGAGTTCTTCTTGGCTGACTTGTCGGCTTGCGCCGAAACGGAAGCCGCCTGGGCCGAAGGCGACAATGCCGCGTGTGTCGAGGTCTGAGGTTGGTGCGCTGCCGAATTGGAAGAGAACCTTGTATGCTTGGCCGGCTTTGAGCTCTTTGGTGCCGATTTCTTCGATGGTGGCGGTGCCGAAGAAGGCGGAGCCTTGTTTCTGGTTCTTGGTGTTGTCGACGACTACTTCGCCGTCGATGAGGAGTCGGCCTGTGCCGACGACTGTCACGCCGAAGTCGTAGACTCCGCTCTCCTCAGGTGTGAAGGTTCCTTCCATGTCGACGTAGTAGGTCATGGACTTGATCTTGGGGTTGACGTAGTCCATGAGGAATCCGGAGGATTCGAGTAGATGTAATTCGTCCACGACCTCTCGGTTCTCGCCAGAGTCGGGATGTTCATTGTACACCTTGAATGTGAAGCCGGGCTTGCCGTCTGCGGTTTTCAGCTTTGGACCTAAAAGCGGCAGATCCTTGTGGGAGTACACGCCCTGGCTGTACTTGACTTCTCCCTTGGTCTTAGCAGAGACGCCATCGAATGGAGTGACAGTGTAGTATGGATACAGAGAGGCCGAACCACCACCACAGTACGCAGCAATCTTAGCATTGGGTCCAATGACCAGCAGAGATCCGTCTTTCTTAAGGGGGAGGATATCCCCCTCGTTCTTCATAAGTACGACAGACTCGGCAGCAGCGCGGCGCATCAGAGCCTGATCTTCGGGGCGGTTGAGAGCCTTCTCAGGTGCTCCCTCGGGAATACCCAGGGGTTCAACCCAGTTTACCAGGTTGAGAATATTGCGCACGCGTTCGTCGAGCTGGTATTGTGCCACCTTGTTTGACGAGACGGCGTGTGCAAGAGCCTCACCACGCCAGCGAGTCTTACCGGGCATCTCGATATCGAGACCGGCAATGATGGCATCAGAGGTACTGTAGGTACCAAACCTACAAATAAAAAGCAAACGTAAGCTTCTGTATAAACAGATAAACATAAAAGTTAGCAGAATGAATCAGATACTCACCAGTCACTCATAACAAGACCCTCCCACCCCCACTCCTTGCGCAAGATATCATCAATGATAGCCTTGTTCTCACTAACATGAGTCCCATTAACCTTATTATAAGCAGTCATAACACACTGCGAGCGACAAATCCGCATAGCCAACTGAAACGGCATCAAGTAAATCTCCCGCAGCGCACGGTTAGTCAGAATACTATTAACAGCCAATCGCTCATGCTCCTGGTCATTGCAGACGAAATGCTTAAGCGTAGCAGCAACACCCTTATCCTGCATTGCCTTGCAGAAATGACCAGCCAGCGTACCGGAGAGCGTACCATCCTCCGAGAAGGACTCGAAGCCACGTCCGCCTAGCGGCGATCGCTGGGTGTTAATCGTTGGACCTAGTACGATGTGTGTGCCTTTTGCGATCGCTTCTTCGCCCATCAATGCGCCGACCTCCGATAGCAGCTCGGTATCCCAGGTTGCACCGAGCGCTGTTGCACAGGGGAAACATGCTGCTGGGATTCCGTTGAAGAAGCGAGTCCCACGCACGCCATTTGGGCCATCTGACATACGCAGTGCAGGGATGTTTAGGCGTGGGACTGATGCTGTGTGCCAGAAGTCATGACCTAGTGGGATGAGGTTAGCTTTTTTGGGGGCGTTGCGTATTTGGTAAATGGATATTGGGTTTACCAGCTGTGAGGGCTACCTTCTCGCCGAGGGTGAGCTCCTCGATGGTTTTCTCGACGTCAATTCGTGCCATGGTGTAATGTGGTTCTCTCTCTTTTTCTCTCTCTCTCTTTTTGGGTTTATATCAATTGCTTGTGCTCTTGTTCAATTTCTCCGAGACAAGGGTGAAGCTATTCGATATTGAGGTTGATATTGTTTCCCAAAAATGGAGAAGGATATAGTCAGTATGTGAAAAAAAGGAAGAAAGAATCGAATCAATCCTTTTATACCCTGGGCTGGAGAAGTCAGGTCTTTTCCAATATATGAAGTGTCAGATTATGAAACCAACCCGTGTAGGCGGGGAAGCTGTGGATTAATGTCCAATGACGACGGTTACACGAGATGTTGAGTTGGTTAAACAAATGATATCTCAAGATATGCAATAGATAATCCACTTGCTCTCTCAAAGGGCCACGGAGGTAATTGCGACCCCGAGGTTTAGCCGACAGGGTAAGGCGGGGCTGAGACGTCGGAGGTCGGCCCGCTGTGCCTGGAGAGTAACGGAGATATACGGAGCACGAAGTACGAAGTACCTACGTACTTCCAAGTATAAAAAGGAATTAATAATTATGAAAAATCCCTGAAATATTGCATTTCGGTTACGTTCATTTAGAAGAAGAAAGAAGAAGAAAGAAGAAGAAGAAAAAAAGTACATGTAAAGAAGTGAAGTGGTTTGTCCCCAAACACCAGGCAAAATGCAAAGACAAGATAGGAAACAGTAGACAGTCCAGTGTAAGGGGAACTTGAGGTTCGTAGCAAAGAAAACATTAAAAGAAAAAAACAAAACAAAAGCAAAGCTCCATCATTCCTTTCAATAGGGTATCATGGTGAATGGTGAAAATTACGCTCCTCGACGAGGACGCTTGTTATCATTTCCCATTCTCATGCCGCGTCCGCCATCAGTGTTGTCATCAGGACCCTGTCGGCCACGCTTACGGTGCCCAGAGCCTCCGGATCCGCTGCCACCCTCGCGCTGGTGATCCCGGTCACGTCGATCGCCACGGCGTTCACGCTCGCGGTCTCGATTGTCGGATCGACTACCCCGATCACCGGAATTGAAACGACGCTCGTTTCCTTCTGGCATGGGGGGAGGTGGAGGAGGAGGGGGTGGTGGCGGTGCATCCATGGAGGAAGGAGGTCGTAAACGGCCTTCGGTATCATGAGGCTCATTGGTACTAGGGCTTGGTCCAGTCATTTCGGATGGCCCATCTTGGCGGTCACGTCGGTCTCGACGTCGCAGCTCTTCGCGTGAGCTCTGAACCCGGCGCAGGGTCTCACGGGGCTCACCAGTGCCCTTTTCGTCGCGGCTTCCACCTCCTACATCGCTTCGACGGCTACGTTCGCGATCATTTCGACGGCCATCGCGTCGGTTGCGACCACTGCTGCTGCCATCACGGCGCTCGTGCTCTTTCTCGCGAGCAGGATCTGTTTCACGGCTGCGACCGCCAGTTGGTCCAGAGCGACCCGCCTCGGGAACGGCATCATCAATTAAGTCGCCACCTCGGTTACCGCTGGGTCGGTTGCGGGATAGATCTTCTTGGGGTCCTGCAGGGCCCATAGGGGGTCGGTTTGCAGGTTGAGACGACGGTGCCTCCATGGTGTTTGGTGGACGGTTGGCACCTCTTCCGCGAACAGGAGGAGGGTTCCCACCCCGATCACCGCCGCCACCACCACCAGATTGCTGGAGCACATTGTTGAGGCCTGCAAAACGTTTATCGCCGCGGCCACGCTCCCCACCGAAGCCCTGTCCAGGCGGTCCAGACTGGATAGACTGCGCGGAGGGTCCTCGGGGTGGCTGTTGTGGGCCTAATCCGCGAGGGCCCGAGGGAGCAGCGGCGGGGGCTGTAGGTTC